TCCTGTGTTACGGACGGGAACCACTCACACCACAGCAGCCAACCACAACGGCACACGTCCAAGCCGATCATGACTTCGTCACCACCATGCTGCACCTATGGGAGAAGACTCAGCGACGACTCACCATGATGCAGACCTCCTAGAAGCAGTATGCCGATCGTCAGCGACGTGATCACTCAGTAGCAGTCCGAGATCAGGTGCTTCTTGACACGCGCAACTAGAACCTGTCTCACCTCCCATCCAAACTCTGGCCTCGCTTCTGTGGTCCTTTTGTCGTTGAGGCACAGGTGACACCAGTTACATTCCGCTTGCGCTTACCAAATGCATGGAAGCTTCACAACGCTTTCCATGTCCAGCTACTAAATCCCTACAAGGACCCCAACCAACAGTTCCAGGGACGGCAGCTACCGCCACCACCACCTGTTCTCATACAGGATGAACCCGAGTACGAAGTGGAGCACGTTCTCACTCATCGGCGCCGCGGCGGCAAGACCCTCGAGTTCGTGATACGCTGGAAGGGATACGACCCCACTGAGGACAGTTGGGTTGCAGAAGCTGATATGGGCAATACATGCCGTGCTCTCAAGGACTATCTTGTCAAGCAGGGTGTATCTCACGCCACCCAGGTTTGAGGGGGGGACGTGTGAGAGTACGACGGCTTATGCCAGCTATGCTTGCTTGCCTTTACTTTTTTATGCGATTTCTAGTATAGGATAATTATATGCATGCATGAATTGCTTGATTTCCTAGGCTAAGTGCTTTCCTATATTTTATTATAGTTATAGCACCGAGCTAGGTTGCGCGCACCGAATTCTGGCTTTTCGGTTGCCACCGAATCGCCTTCTACCGAATTCGGTAAGGGTCTGTTCGGGATGCTACACGGCTCGCGGAACCTTCGCGTAACACCTGGTTACGGGGCCTTGTGACGAGCCTATATATAGCCTTGTGTTGTACCCAGGTGATCATTCAATTCGATTCAATTACAATTCTCTTGTCTGAGCTTGATCCTAGATCCTCACACCGCCCATCCCTCCGCCCATCCCTCCGCCCATCCCCCCGCCCATCCCTCCGCCCATCCCTCCGCCCATCCCCCCACGCATCCCCCCGCCCATCCCTCCGCCCATCCCCCCGCCCATCCCTCCGCCCATCCCTCCGCCCATCCCTGGTCCACCCTGGCCGGGTGCTGCTTGCGACCCTAGAGAAAACCACCTTGACTTGCCCGTACCTCCGCCGACCGTACCTCTGCTGCCCATACCTCCGCCACCCATGCCTCCGCCGCCCGTTCCGCCGCCCATGCCTCTGCCTCCCATTCCGCCGCCCCTCATTCCTCCGCTGCCCATGTTCCCCCTAGGACCCATGGCTGATTGCAATTCAGGAGCAGAGGAACGAGGTCTGCCCATGCCCCCGCCCTTTCCGCCTCCGGCCATGCCGCCGCCACCGCCCATTCCGCCCCCGTCCATTCCGCCGCCACCCATGCCGCCGCCGTCCATTCCGCCGCCGCCCATTCCACCATTGACCATTCCTCCGCCACCCACGCCTCCCCCTCCCATTCCTCTACCGCCCATTCCACCACCGCTCATTCCGCCGCCACCCATGCCGCCGCCACCCATTCCGCCGCCAGCCATGCCGCCGCCGCCCTTTCCGCCGCCGCCCATGCCTTCCCCTCCCATTCCTCCGCCGCCCATTCCTCCGCCGCCTATACCGCCACCCATGATTCCGCCCATGTTCCCCCTAGGACCTATGGCTGATTGTGATCCGGGAGCAGAGGAACCAAGTCCGCCCATGCCACCTCCCATTCCGCCTTCGGTACCTCCGCCACCCATTCCGCCACCGCCCATTCCGCCGCTGCCCATTCCATCACCGCCCATCCCTCCGCCACCCATTCCGCCGTAGCCCGTTCTGCCGCCGCCCATTCCACCGCCGCCCATCCCTCCGCCGCCCATCCCTCCGCCGCCCATCCCTTCGCTGCCCATCCCTCTGCCGCCCATCCCTGCGCCACCCATTCCTCCGCCGCCCATTCCACCATCGTCGCTGCCCATTCCCTCCCCGCCCATTCCTCCGCCGCCCATCCTTCCGCCGCCCATTCCTCCACCGCCCATTCCGCCACTGCCCATTCCTCGCCGCTCCCTCCGCCGCCCATTACTCCACCGCCCATTCCGCCGCTCTGTTGTAGTTGCTGGCTGGTTGAGCGCCAGCCTTGCGCTAATCCGCGCATCATATTGTGCAGCTTGTCCGCGCGGAGCCCCGCGGAGAAGCGGAAGGCCATCGCCGCGTGGAGAGATGAAATAAGAGCTGGGCTGAGAAAAGCCCTTAGGATCTTTTACAGGACTAAACTCTGGATAGGGATGATATAATAGTAGAAGCTTTTAGTGAAGTGTTTGAACCACCTTGCGCTAGTATATGAGGGCAAAGTAGATTGATTAAAACAAGGGGATACAAGAGAATATGAATAGTTATAACTAATAATTGTTTTGCTGTTGCTGTTGCGGTTCGATACAGTGACGACTCAAGCAACTGCTCAATAACGAATCAGTTGTTTGTCCTTGCTATCGCGCTGTATTTGTCAAGTCAAAGGTCGCTGACCTTTGACTTTCGCGTAACCTCCAGCAGTTGCTCAACCTCCAAGGGTTGACTTGCCGATGCTTCGATATTTTCTGCTCCGCTTATGACTTAGTGTTTCGACACGACAAAGGCGCTTAAGTCAATTGTTTCCAACACTCACCTTCGCTTCTGGAGTGTCGCTGCTGATGACGTGGCTCTGTCCAGTCAGCAGCATGCTGTATTCGAACTTCTGCATTCCAAGCTTCTTGGTCAAGCAATCAGCTGCCATCTCGGACATGGGACAGTAAGACAGCTCAAGTCTCCCCTTCTCGATCTTGTCTTTTACGAAGAAATATCGCAGGGCGATATGCTTCAACCTGTTCGCGAATCCGTTTTTGTTGGCTATGCGAATTGCCGACTGGTTGTCGCAGAACAAGGAGAAGCTGGGTAACTGAGCTAGATTCGCCTCCTCCAGAAGTTCGCGAACGTACAGTCCTTCCTTGGTGGCTGACCAAGTTGTGATATATTCAGCTTCAACTGTGGAGAGAGCAAATAACTCCTGCTTGCTCGACTGCCAGGAGATAAGCCCAATAGGCTCGAGGCGATAGATATAGCCAGTGGGTGAGCGTCTGTTGTCGGAGTCGCCGGCGTGATCGGCGTCGACGTAGCCGATAAGTTTAGGTGTCGTAGTTCCGTTCTTGTGGTAGGTTAGACCGACGGTTGAGGTGCTGATGAGGTAGTGGAGAGCGCGGTCGAGTTCCGCCATGTGCTCTGATTCAGGATTTTTTGAGGTAGGTTGTGAGCTAACTTGCGGAGTACGATAGGTCCGGACAGAAGGTGACAACTGCGAAGAGGAGGCATCCCAGTTTTCTCTGGTAGTCGTGTATGTCGGCGGGCTTTAGTGGAGCGGATCCTTCCTTGTTATTTCCTGCCGTGTAGTGGTATGGCATGGAGATGGTGGTCGGCGTGAGTGCGAAGCGTTTGGCGATGGTGTCTGCGTCTTTTGCGGCGCTGAGGTAGATTGAGTTCTCTTCATCCTGAATGTTGAGGCCGAGATATTGCGTGACGGTTGACGATACCGTAAGCGTGAGATCTTTCCATAGCTCCCCTTCGAACCAGGTAGTGACGTCGTTGGTCAACCCGATGTAGAGCAGATCGTCTACATACACAATTAGTATGATGTAGTCTGTGCCTTTTGTAAGACAGTACATGAGAAAAATGAAGGGGAATGAGAATGACTAAAGGAAAGTGGGGTACAAGTACAAACCCTAGAAAGCTGTACCCCATATGTGCTACCCCACTGTAGCCTACAGTAGCTATGTCATATCAATCGGATACACCGCCATAGGCAAATTGGGGGAGAACAAGGGGTCACAAGACCACTCAAGCCAAAAAAAGCAAGCTCAGGGTGGATCACAAAGTCATCACACATCCCGAGCACGAGTTCAAGGCCACAAGGCCAGTTCACATGCATGATAACATATATATATAAGTCTAGACAAGCAAGAGCAGGAGCATATATATATGCAACAATACAAACAAGGTCAAGAGGTAAGCAAGTGAGGCAAGGTAGGCACAAGACCCAGCTGAATACAGAAGCGCTGATGATCACAAGGCGCAAGTGCCTTGGTGAAGATATCAGCAGTGTTGGCCTCAGAGGCCACGTACACAAGGCGCAGCTGACCACGCTGTTGTAGCTCACGGGCAAGGAAGTAGCAGAGAGCAATGTGCTTCGTTCTGTGCTCCACTCTCGGCTCTCAACACAAGGCCAGCATGGCCTTGTTGTCTACGTACAGCATTGGAGGAGAACGAGGCGGCTCTCCGAGGTCACTCAGCAGGTAGGTGAGCCAGCAAAGCTCCTATGCAGCCATGGCCCCGGCGTAGATCTCAGCCTCACAACTGGAGCCGAGAATAGAAGATGAGCGGGTAGCCCGCCACGAAACAGAGTCGGAACCAAGGCTGAAGGTGTAATCCTGTGACGACCGCTGCGTAGCCTGGTCCTCAACCCAAGAAGCGTCTGCGTGCCCAATGAGGACCACCGGAATGTGCCCTCCAAGCACAAGCCCCATGCGCGACGTACTGCACAAGTAGCGCAACACCCTCTTTGCTGCAGCCATGTGCTCCGGTCTGTGTCTCCCAGGAGCAACATAGCGTGCAAGAATGCTAAGAGGGTATGCAAGGTCAGGTCGTGTGCAGGTCATCAGGTACATGAGGCAGCCAACAAGCTCTAGGTACGGACCACTATACTCTACGGACTCATCCAAAGGTAGAGGTGAGAGCGAATCGCGAGTAGGCAGAGGAGTGGCCTGAGGCGAGGAGTACGTGAAGCGGAAGCGCTGAAGGACCTCCTGCACCATGTGTGACTGAGTCAGAGTAATGGTGCGGCGTGCTCTGTCCCGAGTGATCTGCAGCCCAAGGTAGCTATGCAGTTCACCCAGGTCTGTGCACGTGTGTCTCTTCTACAGCTCGGACTTCACGTGGGCGAGTCCAGCAGTGTTAGCACTGGCAAAGACCAAGTCGTCGACGTATACGAGGATGTAGAACGGCGGCAGAGAAGTGTCGGTGCGCAGAAACAGTGACGGGTCTGCAGTAGAGGGAGCAAACCCAAGAGCCGTAAGTGTAGTCCTCAGTGTGTCGTCCCACTCACGCGTTGCCTGGCGGAGACCATAGACTGGCCGGCGGAGGCTCCACTGGGTGCCAGGAGGAAAAGATCTAGTGAAGCCAGGTGGGCGACGCAGCCAGATCTCCTCGTGCAGGCTGCCCTGCAAGAAAGCAGTGGTGAAGTCAAGAGAGTGCAGCTCGTAGTTGCGGTGAGCAGCTATGTGCAGCAGCACCCAAAGAGTGGTCATCTTCGGGGTGGGAGAGAACGTCTGAAAGTAGTCAACTCCCTGCCGCTGACTGAAGCCACAAGCCACCTAACGCGCCTCGAAGACAGGCGGAGAACCCGGCGGCCGCTTCACCATGAAAATCCACATGCCACTGACGATGTTCGCCCCAGGCGGGGGGACCTCGTCAACGTAGGTGCCTGTGGACTTCCAGGAAGCCATATGTGTGTCTATAGCTGCCTGCCAATGAGAGGAGTAGGGACCCTCTATCGCCTCTGCGTAATAGCACGGAGCCGGGATGTCTAGTGCATCCGGGTCTCCCTCAAGTGTAAGCAGTACGAACATGAGATGAGGTGAAGCATCAGCCAAACACTAGAACTCCTCCTCCCTGTCCTCAAGGACGTCCGTGCCAAGGGCACACTCACCCCCGACGGACGTAGGACTGACAGACTCAGACTCAGCGACAAGACGAGCAGCGTAGTCTAGACAATAGCGAGCAGCGAAGTCGACAAGCTCAACAACTAGGGCAGACGCAGCACTCAACTCAAACAAAGGGTCACTGACGACAGTAGCAAGGAGACGCGTGATAGTAGGACTGGCAGCACGAAGAGAGTCCGACTCCGGGTCTGCAAGAGCAGGAAGCGAGGACGCAGGAGGAGAAGGCAAAGGGGCACGGAGAGGAGCAGTGGACGGAAGTAGAGACATCTGGTGCGTGCCACGGACAGGAGGAGGACGCTGACACGAGCCACAACCACTAGTGCGAGCAGGACGGACAGGCGACACAGGGCGAGACGCAGGCTCACGACGCTCAGCAAGACCTCCAGTAGGACTAGTGTAGGAAGAAGGAGCAGGCAGTGGGGAGACCGGCTGGAACTATAAGTGTGACGGGATAGGCTGTGGACACTCTAAGGGAGGAGGAGGACCGGGAGAAGGCGGGAGACCAAGAACTTGCTGAAGGAGCGGAACGAAGTACGGCCGAGGCCGCGCGGGGACACGAGACACAGCAGGGACAGCACCAGTACCCCCAGCGGTAGCACTAGCGCCAGCAGCACCTCCAGCTCCAGTACCTCCACCAGCACTAGGAGCACCCCAAGCAGGACCTCCTCCAGGAACGACAGCAGCAGCCTCAGCGCCAACACCCTCAGCAGCTCCAGCTCCACTCGTACTCGCAGGCCCAGCAGCTCCAGTACTCCCAGTACGAGCACCTACGGGACCCGCGGCATCAGCACCCTCAGCAGCCGAAGAAGCTCCAGCTCCAGTAGCTCGCCTCCAGCGTCACGCAAACCACTGGCGCAGCTCCTTTGGAGAGAGTGGCTCCCGCCGAGACTAAGCACCCAAAGAACCTCCAGGCCCAGCACGGCCAGACGCCACACGAGCAGGTCCAGCTCCCACAGGCTCCTCACCCCCAGGCTCAGCACCTCAAGACGTGGCACCCCTAGGCTCAGCACCTCCAGACGTAGCACCCCCAGGCTCAGCACCCCTAGGCGTAGTATCCCCAGGCTCAGCACCCCTTGGCTCAGCACCCCCAGGCTCAGCACCCCCAGGCTAAGCACCCCAAGTAGTGGCACTCGTAGGCTCAGCACCCCCAGAGTCAGCACCCCCTGGCTCAGCACCCCCAGCAGCACCAGAATCACCAGTAACCTTGACAGGCTCGACTGCGTCTACCTGGGACACACTTGAAGGGGCAGGACCCTGAGGGGGGAGGGGGTCTACCGGGCGGGGACCTGGCACAAGGGAGAGCGGTGGCATGAGCAAGGACGGAGTCCGGTAGGGGAAGAGGTGGTAGTAGGGGACCGACTCGTCAAACGTAACGTCGTGGGAGGACAGAACACGGCAAGAGGTGGGATGGTAGCACTAGTGGGGAAGCCAAGGAAGACGTAAGGAGCAGCACGAGGGCACAGCTTGTCCGCAGACAAGTCGTGGACAAACGCCCGAGATCCCCAGACACGGAACGCAGACGCATCGCCAACCTTCCCCGTCCACAGCAAAGCTGGAGAGGTCTCCGGCATGGCGACCCTGGGGTGAAGGTTGATCTGATGCGCCGCGTACCGAACCGCAAGCAGCCACAGAAAATGGGGGGCAGCCGCATGCATCATGGACGTACGAGCGACGTCCATGACCATGCCAATGCGGCGCTCAGCAATCCCATTTTGTTGTGGAGAGTCCGGAAGCCTGAAGGTCTGGCGGATGCCTTCTCCACGAAAGTAGGCTCGCAGAAGGCCAGAGGAGAACTTTGTGCCTCTGTCAGAATGCATACGCAGAACAGGAAAGTCCGAGCCGAAGCTCTGCTTTAGCTGGAGACAAGCTGCGCGGATCTAGTCGATCAGCACTGCAATGACATCACCCTTGATGCGCAAGGGGAAGATTGTGGTGTAACGCTAGTATTCGTCAACACCAGCAGGGAGTACCGCTCGTAACCCTATCCACGGACGCGGGCCGGGCCCCACACATCCATGTGAAGCGTCTGCAGCGGGGCCTCTGTCGGAGGAGACTGGAAGGAGTGAGGGGCAGCCCGCTGCCGCCCTTCGACACAGGGGACGCAGGAAGGGCCAGGCCACAGAGGAAGGGGAGGGAGGGACCGGGGAAGCACAGAAACAAGGACACCGGAAGCCATGCCTCGAAGACGGAGCAGGGAGGGGTGACCAAGGCGGTGGTACCAGAGGAGAGTCTCGTGAGACGGGAGGCGACACGAGAAGGGGGCCGACTCAGGACCAGACCTGGACGCTGCAGTAAACACCTGATCAGACGCAGCTAGCTGACCAGACGCATTGACTGGAGGAGACGGAGTGGTCAGTATGTACAGGCTCGACCCCAGCCGACGTGTAAACATGGCCAGGTGTCGGCCTGTCCGAGCGTCCGTGTAGTGGGTCACAGGAATGAACTAGTGAACTCCCGCGTCCTGAAGGTCAGCACGACTCATCAAGTTTGTAGAGAACGAGGGGAGGTAAAGACCAGACAGGGTGCTAGAGGGGGCCGCCAAACACGGGAGGATAGTGGAGAAGTGAGCAAGGACAGGATGGGGTCTGCAAGAGAGATTGCAACTGGCCGGCCAAGCGGCGTGAGTGTGGTGTAGTCTCGAAAGAAGGAGCGAGAAGCCCTCGAGACAAGGGTTAAGGTGTGGGAGGCCGAAGCCGACGTAGTGAGAGCAGACTCACCAGCACCTGAGGGAGCAAACGCACGAGCACCTAGAGTAGCAACCTCACTAGCACCTACAGCAGCAGCACTCACGGGGTGGTACTTGAGGAGTAGCACTCACAGGGTGGTACTTGAGGAGCAGCACTCACGGGGTGGTACTTGAGGAGCAGCACTCACGGGGTGGTACTTGAGAAGCAGCACTCACGGGGTGGTACTTGAGGAGAAGCACTCACGGGGTGGTACTTGAGGAGAAGCACTTACGGGGTGGCACTTCAGGAGCAGCACTCACGGGGTGGTACTTGAGGAGCAGCACTCACGGGGTGGCACTTGAGGAGCAGCACGGGGTGGTAATCGAGGAGCAGCACTAACGGGGTGGTACTAGAGGAGTAGCACTAACGGGGTGGTACTTGAGGAGCAGCACTCACGGGGTGGTACTTGAGGAGCAGCACTCACGGGGTGGTACTTGAGGAGCAGCACTCACGGGGTGGTACTTGAGGAGCAGCACTCACGGGGTGGTACTTGAGGAGCAGCACTCACTCGGTGGCAACTGAGGAGCAGCACTCACGGGGTGGTACTTGAGGAGCAGCACTAACGGGGTGGTACTTGACGAGTAGCACTCACGGGGTGGTACTTGAGGAGTAGCACTCACGGGGTGGTACTTGAGGAGTAGCACTCACGGGGTGGTACTTGAGGAGCCGCACTCACGGGGTGGTACTTGAGGAGCAGCTCTCACGGGGTGGTACTTGAGGAGCAGCACTCACGGGGTGGCACTTGAGGAGCAGCACTAACGGGGTGGTACTTGAGGAGCAGCACTAACAGGGTGGTACTTGAGGAGTAGCACTAACGGGGTGGTACTTGAGGAGTAGCACTCACGGGGTGGTACTTGAGGAGCAGCACTTACGGGGTGGTACTTGAGGAGCAGCACTCACGGGGTGGTACTTGAGGAGCAGCACTCACGGGGTGGTACTTGAGGAGCAGCACTCACAGGGTGGTACTTGAGGAGCAGCACTCACGGGGTGGTACTTGAGGAGCAGCACTCACAGGGTGGTACTTGAGGAGCAGCACTCACGGGGTGGTACTTGAGGAGCAGCACTCACGGGGTGCTACTTGAGGAGCAGTACTCACGGGGTGGTACTTGAGGAGCAGCACTCACGGGGTGGTACATGAGGAGTAGAACTCACGCGGTGGCACTTGAGGAGCAGCACTCACGGGGTGGTACTTGAGGAGCGGCACTCACGGGGTGGCACTTGAGGAGCAGCACTTACAGGGTGGTACTTGAGGAGCAGCACTCACGGGGTGGTACTTGAGGAGCAGCACTCACGGGGTGGTACTTGAGGAGCAGCACTCACGGGGTGGTACTTGAGGAGCAGCACTCACGAGGTGGCACTTGAGGAGCAGCACTCACGGGGTGGTACTTGAGGAGCAGCACTCACGGGGTGGTACTTGAGGAGCAGCACTCACGGGGTGGTACTTGAGGAGCAGCAGTCACGGGGTGGTACTTGAGGAGCAGCACTCACGGGGTGGCACTTGAGGAGCAGCACTCACGGAGTGGTACTTGAGGAGCAGCACTCACGGGGTGGTACTTGAGGAGTAGCACTCACAGGGTGGTACTTGAGGAGCAGCACTCACGGGGTGGCACTTGAGGAGCAGCACTCACGGGGTGGTACTTGAGGAGCAGCACTAACGGGGTGGTACTTGAGGACTAGCACTCACGGGGTGGTACTTGAGGAGCAGCACTCACGGGGTGGTACTTGAGGAGCAGCACTCACAGGGTGGTACTTGAGGAGCAGCACTCACGGGGTAGTACTTGAGGAGCAGTACTCATGGGGTGGTACTTGAGGAGTAGCACTCACGGGGTGGTACTTGAGGAGCAGCACTCACGGGGTGGTACTTGAGGAGCAGCACTCACGGGGTGGTACTTGAGGAGCAGCACTAACGAAGTGGTACTTGAGGAGCAGCACCCACGGGGTGGTACTTGAGGAGCAGCACTCACGGGGTGGTACTTTAGGAGCAGTACTCACGGGGTGGTACTTGAGGAGCAGCACTCACGGGGTGGTACATGAGGAGTAGAACTCACGGGGTGGCACTTGAGGAGCAGCACTCACGGGGTGGTACTTGAGGAGCGGCACTCACGGGGTGGCACTTGAGGAGCAGCACTTACGGGGTGGTACTTGAGGAGCAGCACTCACGGGGTGGTACTTGAGGAGCAGCACTCACGGGGTGGTACTTGAGGAGCAGCACTCACGGGGTGGTACTTGAGGAGCAGCACTCACGGGGTGGCACTTGAGGAGCAGCACTCACGGGGTGGTACTTGAGGAGCAGCACTCACGGGGTGGTACTTGAGGAGCAGCACTCACGGGGTGGTACTTGGGGAGCAGCAGTCACGGGGTGGTACTTGAGGAGCAGCACTCACGGGGTGGCACTTGAGGAGCAGCACTCACGGAGTGGTACTTGAGGAGCAGCACTCACGGGGTGGTACTTGAGGAGCAGCACTCACGGGGTGGTACTTGAGGAGCAGCACTAACGGGGTGGTACTTGAGGACTAGCACTCACGGGGTGGTACTTGAGGAGCAGCACTCACGGGGTGGTACTTGAGGAGCAGCACTCACAGGGTGGTACTTGAGGAGCAGCACTCACGGGGTAGTACTTGAGGAGCAGTACTCATGGGGTGGTACTTGAGGAGTAGCACTCACGGGGTGGTACTTGAGGAGCAGCACTCACGGGGTGGTACTTGAGGAGCAGCACTCACGGGGTGGTACTAGAGGAGCAGCACTCACGGGGTGGTACTTGAGGAGCAGCACTCACGGGGTGGTACTTGAGGAGCAGCACTCACGGGGTGGTACTTGAGGAGCAGCACTCACGGGGTGGTACTTGAGGAGCAGCACTCACGGGGTGGTACTTGAGGAGCAGCACTCACGGAGTGGTACTTGAGGAGCAGCACTCACGGGGTGGTACTTGAGGAGTAGCACTCACGGGGTGGTACTTGAGGAGCAGCACTCATGGGGTGGTACTTGAGGAGCAGCACTCACGGGGTGGTACTTGAGGAGCAGCACTCACGGGGTGGTACTTGAGGAGTAGCACTTACGGGGTGGCACTTGAGGAGCAGCACTCACGGGTTGGTATTTGAGGAGCAGCACTAACGGGGTGGTACTTGAGGAGCAGCACTCACGGGGTGGTACTTGAGGAGTAGCACTCACGGGGTGGCACTTGAGGAGCAGAACTCACGGGGTGGTACTTGAGGAGCAGCACTCACGGGGTGTTACTTGAGGAGCAGCACTCACGGGGTGGTACTTGAGGAGTAGAACTCACGGGGTAGCACTTTAGGAGCAGCACTCACGGGGTGGTACTTGAGGAGTAGCACTCACGGGCTGGCACATCAGTAGCAGCACACACGGGGTGGTACTTGAGGAGCAGCACTCACGGGGTGGTACTTCAGGATCAGCACTCACGGGGTGGCACTTGATGAGGAGCACTCACGGGATGGTACTTGAGGAGCAGCACTAGCGGGGTGGTACTTGAGGAGGAGCACTTACAGGGTGGTACTTGAGGAGCAGCACTCACGGGTTGGTACTTGAGGAGCAGCACTCACGGGGTGGTACTTGAGGAGCAGCACTCACAGGGTGGTACTTGAGGAGCAGCAGTCACGGGGTGGTACTTGAGGAGTAGCACTCACGGGGTGGTACTTGAGGAGCAGCACTCACGGGGTGGTGCTTGAGGAGCAGCACTCACGGGGTGGTACTTGAGGAGTAGCACTCACGGGGTGGCACTTGAGGAGCAGCACTCACGGGGTGCTACTTGAGGAGTAGCACTCACGGGGTGGCACTTGAGGAGCAGCACTCACGGGGTGGTACTTGAGGAGCAGCACTCACGGGGTGGTACATGAGGAGCAGCACTCACGGGGTGGTACTTGAGGAGCAGCACTCACGGGGTGGCACTTGAGGAGCAGCACTCACGGGGTGGTACTTGAGGAGCAGCACTCACGGGGTGGTACTTGTGGAGCAGCACTCACGGGGTGGTACTTGGGGAGCAGCAGTCACGGGGTGGTACTTGAGGAGCAGCACTCACGGGGTGGCACTTGAGGAGCAGCACTCACGGAGTGGTACTTGAGGAGCAGCACTCACGGGGTGGTACTTGAGGAGCAGCACTCACGGGGTGGTACTTGAGGACTAGCACTCACGGGGTGGTACTTGAGGAGCAGCACTCACGGGGTGGTGCTTGAGGAGCAGCACTCACAGGGTGGTACTTGAGGAGCAGCACTCACGGGGTAGTACTTGAGGAGCAGTACTCATGGGGTGGTACTTGAGGAGTAGCACTCACGGGGTGGTACTTGAGGAGCAGCACTCACGGGGTGGTACTTGAGGAGCAGCACTCACGGGGTGGTACTTGAGGAGCAGCACTCACGGGGTGGTACTTGAGAGCAAGCACTCACGGGGTGGTACTTGAGGAGCAGCACTCACAGGGTGGTACTTGAGGAGCAGC